TTTAGTTTTTTCAAGAGAGATATGTTTTGGCCTACCATTTTAGATTTATCTTTGGTATTTTCAACTTGCAAAAGATATTACATAATATTTTCATAACTTAGGTTAAAAAAGAAATCAACCGATATGATGATGATGAAAGAAGGATGTGGGGTGTTTATGTTCCCGGGCACCTGGGCACATCAACAGCAAATTTTCATATTTCGTTGTCGAAACAACAGTTGAAAAAGATGGTTTTCAACGTAGATTGTTTCATTGTTGTTACATTATTCCACCATTGGAGCGATTATGGATTGTGGATCAATTTTTTATGGTCAAGCTGCTGAAGCCACATTGAAATATTTGGAGGTTATTTAAAAAAAAAAAAGCAGCATAGACTGCGTAAGTTGGCTGTGACTGCTATGCAATTAGTACGCAATGAGCAAGACCTGGATGTCCTAAGATGTTGGTCATAAATTCGTGACCAAGGCCGCAGCAGAAGAAACACAAAAAAATGGTATCATAAATGTTAATGTGGTAATAAAACAGACATAAGAAACTCTCTAAACTGCATAAGTACGTTTGTAACAGCTATGCTGCTAGAATGCAATGAGCAAGCTCTGGATTTCATAAGATATTGGTCACAAATTCGTGACCAAGGCCGCAGCAGAAGAAACACAAAAAATGGTATCATAAATGTTTATGTGCTAATAAAGTAGACAAAAAACTCTCACCGCTGACAACAGCCTGACTACATGTACGACAATGCATCAAATATATTAGTGTAAAAGTACATCAGTTAGAAGATATTAGAGATGGCAACCCCAGTGTGCATATTATGCAGGAAATGTGATGATGATAAAAGGAGACCAGGAGGTGAATTTAAAAATCCACCAAGTACTGCAACCTTCTGGCCTATTGTACTTTCCTAGCTGTATAGTTAAGCCTGTCAAGTCGATCTTTCTTTTAAGGAGTCCTAAGAGATGACTACCGTGGATATAATTCCTTTCATTGTGTTTCGTTTATATCCCAGGTAATGTCTCCATTAAACGGTTACTTCACATTAATAAATTATGCAATGAGGAAAAAGAAACAGCCACCCTTATCAGGCTGTTTCTTTCTCTTCTCTGCATAATCTTCAAATATGAATATGCCCATGTTGTGTAAATGTGCTCTCAGACGGCAGTGACCGGTAAATAGTCCTATCAATCCTCTGAGTTAAGCTCTCTCTAGCTGAGGCAGTGAGTTTGGTGAGGGTTGTTGTAACATAAACATGTGACTAGTACTTCCTGCATTTGCTTTTTTTTTTACCCATTCTGAGCGAGAGGATTGTATACTTTTTTTTGTTATCTCAAGTATAGGTTCTGGGTCTTGCAAATCATCTTCTGGCCAGTTTGTTTGCCTTTTCGTTAGCCAATACTCCTTTGTGTCCTTGTACCCAAAATATCTTCAGATTGTTGTGTTTCCACAAGTTTTAGAGATTTTGGATGTATGTACGGACTAGTGTTGATGCGATTTTTCTACATGCTAATATTTTAACAGCTGCTTGGCAATCCTATATATCGAGGATGTTTTCGTTCAGTCAAACCTCTTTTCAGATTTTCCAAGGCACAAGTATTGATGACATGTATTTCAGATGGAAATACCGAGGTGTTCTTCCCGAATGAGTTTGACTGTGTTTGTTTTGTTGGGCTTGCAGAAAACGCGCCTGATCCGGTTCCTTCGTGTGTTTTGAATTCATCTATGTAACTTATTATCGTGATGTTCTCCTGAATTCTTCTTTTCCTTCGTAGTCTATATAGATTTATAAGAAGGTATAAAGAGAGAGTCGTTCCGGGATTATGTAGTCCACATTTCTAAATAATATAAATAATTATTCTATATAATCGACCGATATACAACCCTAAAATACATGCACAACAAAGACAGAAATCCACACTAAAAATAAATATTCAATTTATTTTAAATTTTTTTTTAGAGAGAATGTTGAGACAGAAGTCGAATAAATTTACACCATGTACCACAAGAAAAGATTTCATTTGCGTTGGCGATCTGAAGGCTCCCATTTAAGCGTATTTGATAAAAGCTTAGTAATTTTTTAAAAATTAATAACTAATAATTTTTCAAGAATTCATTTCCAACAGTGATTATTTTTTATCTTTTGATTTTCTTTTATTAAAATCGTGTATTACGTTATAAAACTGTACTTTGAGTTTTTCTAAAATTTCAGTAAAATTTTTCAATCGATATCCACTGAAAAATAAACATGTCATAAGTTAAACAAACACAGTTTGATAAAAAAGAATTGTTTAACTTTAATGGGAGATTTCTACACTCCAGTGATAGGATTATCGATAAAATATAAATGATATGAAAATTTAAATTTTGTTGAAAGTAATAAAATAACAGATGTATAATAACATCTATAATACAGTAATAAACTATTTTCCAACCAAACATCTACTAATTAATAATTTTATTGGATTACATTATGCTTTATTCATGGAACTTTTTAAAAAATATTTTTGATAAAGATGTTTTGTTTAAAATTTGTAACCCACTGTAAAGTTGTATCTTATCTCTAGTATTTAATCTGATAACAGGCGGCTGTTTGAGTTGCTGAGACGACCTTTTTTGAAATAATGAGCTTTTTTGGTTCGTGATTTTGTACAGAGGCAAACCTTTTCTATGTAAATTTTTTTGATAAAAATATCAATTTTTCTCTATGAAATATATAAAAAATTCTCTATGAAATATATAAAAAATGTAACTGAATAAAATTTCATTGAAAATTTCTTTCATGGATTATTGGATCGTTAATAAAAGCGATATATTTACAGCAAATAAAATAAATTTAGTGACCTAAATGAAATATTTTCAGATTTAATGAAACCACAATTTAAAAATGTACAACATAAAACAAAAAACTAGTAAAATGTCCAATAAAAACGAAGTAATATGTTATTAATCTGTTCAACAAGTTCCATTACTGTAGTCATTTTAACCATTTTTGTATTTTTTTGAGAATTGGAATTAAAAATAAAATCGAAAGGTTTAGGATAGTAAACAAAGCTGTATATTATTTTTAGAAAGATTATTTCCTGTAGGATATTCCTATCGGATGATAACAGATAGCTCCATATGACATTTATTATATATTAATATAAATAAAGAAACGAAGAATTTCTTTCTTTATATACCAAACAACTAATCAGAAAAATATATGAAACAAATGGCAGCAAAATTAGCCACGACGAGACCACACAACCCCACTCATGTACGTTCAGCGGATATCTAAAAAGAATGTAGAAAGTTAAAACAAATTCCACTCTGGACAGCGGTGGCTGGGTCTAGAAGAGAAAAGGTAATACTAGGTTGCGAATAAGTCACACTAGGATCAAACACGGGCACCTCAAAAGAGGTTTCGTTGTATATCGGGTTGGGAAATTGTCACTGTAGAATAAATAATAACGAATTGTAAAGAATTGAGTGTGCAAATAAAGAAATTCGACATTCGAATAACTCAGGACCATAAATATGTTTAATGGTGTATACATCCCCGAGGAATATCGAAGGAATATTCGGGCACGAATGAATAAGATATGTGTTGTAGTGGATGAAAAGGATGAACGGAGTAGTTCATATTTGTAATAATGTTCTTAGTGAATGCAATTTATTAGTGTGAAAAAAAGAACACGAGGAATATGGAGAATTCTGGGGTTGTGTGAATCTAAGTCGTTAGTTAATTACTCAGAATTCGTGAGACGCGGTCTGGTGTGATGTAGGTTTCAGAAAAACATGGGGCACTCTCAACTCGACACGCAAGAATGGCACACGCAAAAAACAAACACTTTGAGCCCTGAAGATGATCTCAATAAAGATCGAAACGTTGGCACGATAAAGAAAATGTTTTTCCGAAACCTACATCACACCAGACCGCATCTCACGATTTCTGAATAATCATCGACTAGCGGTCACTAATCACCACATATTTCTATGTCATTAGAGTAAATGTAAGGACTTCTTCACTAATCACTCCGCCGAAAATCGAGGGGCAGTATGAATGCCAAACAAACTAACTTGTTTTTAAATGTATATATTTTATTGTATGAGACAAGTTTGAGTGCTTATTATGAGTATATTTTCCTTCTTGATTGACTAAGCAATGACGTTTCGAACCTCTAAGACTGGTTGCCTTCTAACAAACAGGACTACCTAAGAAAAGCGACTTGCATGACATTACTACTATATACGTGCTTACGATGGACGAAAACCGAACATATTACATAAGGAAAGTTAGGTCGCTTATTAAATTCTAGTTAGCTTGTCCGCGTTGTTGGTCTGCCAGGTGCGTTTCAGCATTTTCGCCATTTTCAATGATACCCACGTGGACTTACGATATTCTCCTCTGGGCTGCCAGCGAGATCCACAATTACCCAACAAATGACTGTTAATGAATTAATACTGTTAATGTCATGACGGTTCATGTATACAAGCAAAACTGTGTCATGAACAATATATCTTTTTTTAGTTCGATTACTTCTGTTCTTCCTGGTTCCCCTATGCTGTTTTCAGGCAGAGGCGTTTTATCATTTCGCCATATTCGTCAACCAAACTAATGGTTTATAATTCCGCAGACTTCAATGTAAAATATTACAACTTATTTGATTTAATTAAAACATATAGTAAAAACTTGGCGTTTTAAGTAGAAGAATTTGAACAAAATTAAAATCTGAAAAATAACTTGGAAATGGATTTAAAAGTCGTTTACTATCAATAATGCAATATGTTGAAACAATTTTTTCTTAGGTCCAAGTTATATCAACTAACTGTAGACGAAAATAAAAGATATTCAGGTGATAAAATTATAGAGGTGTTAATGTAAAACCCTTTAAAATTTCAACTTTACTTCTTTTTTCCCTTTCATGATTTTTTGTGTCTGGTTTCAAGATTATTAATCACGGAGTGTTGTCAAAACGCCTATTGGCCCGATACAAGTTATGGATTATTGCAACTCATCACAATCGAGTTAGAGATAAGCTGAGGATTAGGGCTTCGAGTAGGCTGATTCTACTCCTACTGACTCGGCGTAGGACATACAACAATTGAACACAAGGATGACACCGTCAGGGAGCAGGTAATTACTTTTGGCTACGGTTCGCCAACATTTTTGTACACAATTTTTTTTTCAGTATGTCCAGTTTGTGGATATTCTTGGCCGCCATCCTGGTCCCGTGCAGCTGCTACCCTATCCATCCGACCCCCGGCTACATTAAACCGAAGGAATACGATTTGCATATCATAATAGACGATGGTGGTTTTTTTGACGGTGAGGTCACAATAAAATTCGAAACAGGGGTAAGTTCTCATTTTGAAACATTTCATTTATGTTGTTTCAACCAACCATGTTTGAACCGGTCAATTAATAACAAGACCCAAAAAATCCGTTTCTCGTATGTTTTTAAGTAAATTTAACTCTTAATTTAATTAAAACACACATTTAATTAAATTAATCTGTATAAAAGTTAGAAGGTTTTGCAACCAAAAAAGGAGAGGGAGAGGGGGAGGGAGGGAGGGAGAGAGAGAGAGAGAGAGAGAGAGAGAGAGAGAGAGAGAGAGAGAGAGAGAGAGAGAGAGAGAGGAAAGCAATAAAGTGTATGAATTAATTATTAAGAAGTTAGACAAAAATGCAAAACAAAAGAAGAAGTAGACAAAAAATGCATTTTTCTAATTATATGCATCTACTAAATAAACCTAATTTATTCTTTTTTTGAAAAGTTTGTTTATCTTTTTAAAATTAATCCGTATAGAAGTAATCCAACAAGATTTTATAATTCAAAGAGATGATGATGATGATGGTGTCTTGATTTACTTCTAAGTCATCAAACTTTAATAATTTCAAATAACCTCGTTCTCGTGGTCAATACGTTACATCTATTCAATTTACAATCTATTCAATTTATTTAACAGTATAATTGAACAACTGAAAACAAAATTACTAATGTAAAAAGTGAAAAAACAAGATTTTGCAAACAATACATGGATTATAAACTGCCTAAATCTATGAATAAAAGTTTTAGTCAAGAGAGAAAGAAAGAAAGAAAGAGAGAAAGAAAGAAAGAAAGAGAGAGAGAAAGAGAAAGAGTGAGAGAAAGAAAGAGAGAGAGAAAGGGAAAGAGAAAGAGAGAGAGAGAGAGGGAGGGAGAGCGAGAAGCAAAAGGAATAAAGAAAGAGCGAGAAAAGAAAGAAATATATAAATAAGAGATAGACAAAAAGAGATAGATTGAGTGACTGAGTAAGGAAGAGAAGAAAAAAGAAAGGAATACAGGAGTGAGAGAGAGATTGTCTTTACTTTTAAATATTTGTCGAACATTTATTTTATTAATACGAGAAAATGACGGATTCTAGGATACGTAACAAATTAAACAAACGCTGCTAAAATTTGGGAAAAGAAATCTCGATCCTTCTACTCATATTTTTTGTTCAACCTTTTGTGCCGTCCGTATGATTCACATTACAAATCTTTACGAATTTATCTCAATGTCAATACAATCTCAAGTGAAACCTTCAATCGTTTTTAATTGAAAGGGGATGACAGTTCAATTTTTTGCAAGCATTCATCTCAATTAAAAAAACCGATTCTCTGATAAAATGGACATTTTTATCATGCGTAATTTTTAGTCATAGGTGAAACACGTATACAGGACAAAATGTGGTGTAAAATATTTCCAAAAACGAACTTACTGCTATGACAAGTAGTAAAACTTGAAAAAATAAACACTAATAAAATGGAAATTATGAAGGCCAAATATATAATAGGATAGATCCGAATAACATATTTTTATTTTATTTGAAAATATGGTTTACCAATCTATAATTCTTTTCTTAATTAAATTTACTTAATTGCTTTTAAGTTGTAGACACTTTTAAAAATAAAGCGCTACTGCTCAAACTTGGTCGGGTAAAATTATTAATTCTCCCTCCTACTTGAGCAATGCCTATACCTACACCACATATCCCTTTCTATAGTTTAGCATAGAGATTGTACAAGCAGAAATTTCTGACAAACAACAAAAGCGAACATTTGGACATACGATAATCGAACTACGATTCAACCATCATCATATCCAGATTTTCTATTTTAAAAATTTTAACGTCCTCTCCTACTTATCCCATCATACAATCAATGAAACCTCCATTTTCTCATACACGTCTCGGCCGTTAAAATTTCAGAAGTCTTTTTCGTAGGACCTCGACCTTTACATCTGGGATTTTTTATCCCAATAAGCAAATAGCAATAATTGACGCAATGACTGTCAACCATGTTACGTTTAAGAGAAGTCACCAAGTATTGAGTCAGGTTCTATGGCCAAGTATCCTATGGAGTAATTTCTAGCGTCGGTTAGATTCCTGTCTTTTCAATTGTGTATGTGGATTTCTATTTAATGCTTTTCAATGTCCGCACGATATAAGTATGGATTTTTCATTGAAGTAGACTAGAGGACATGTGAATTTTCGGATCAGAATTGATGACAGGATGGCTGTGTAGTTAGCAAAAGAGCATATAATATTGTTAGGGAGAACAGAATTTCCGCTGTGAACATTGTGAATAGGAAGGGCTCCTGGGTCTTAAGCTTGCTTAACCTCCCGCACCATTTTTTTTGCGATCCTTCGCCCACTAGCGCTAGATCTTTCCACTTGTTCACACACACACAAATTACATGTGTATATATGTGCGTAAGTATATATATATATATATATATATATATATATGTATGTATCGTGTGCGCGCGAGGGTACGAATTGAAAGATCTAGCATCTAGGGTGATAGACGTTTCTCCACTTAGTTCTTATTCTGACCTATCAAACGTTATTTTCAAACTGCAGCCCTATGAGAGCGTTTTAAAAAAAGCAAATGGAATGTCTAACATGATATGTATTCTTGAACATTGGTTTTATTTCATTGAATAACTACAGTACATTAATGTTTTATTTCGATATGTCGAATGCATTTCGGGCTAATTCCAATAACGCCTAACCAGCTATCAGCACATTTATATCTTATGTTATATACAGTTATATCACATTTACCAATATTTATTTTACACAAAAACAAAATCAACGTGCTCTCCTGACGGTAATTCGGCCTACACTCGGCGTTATCCTTTCTACTTCATAAATTCAATGATATTGTTTTTGTAAAGTAAGTAACTAATGAACAAAGTTAATCAATGCCAGTGTCCATGGAGGAATAGGAATCAATAAGAAGAGGCACCAAGAATTCATGATATTAATGTTTTAATTTTTTTTTTCAGAGTGACACGCCCAGAAAAGTGAACACGATCGTCCTTAACAGCGAAAGCCTGTTGGTTAACAGTGCTTTCCTTAACGATTCAAACGGGAAGGAGGAATTTCTTACATCCACGGTCGATAAAACGCTGAACACCGTCAATTTTCAGCTGAATGATCCACTGGAGAAAAGCTTGGTCTACTCTTTGAAAATATCCTTCTCGGGAAATGCTTCAAAGGACGGACGCGGCTTACACAGCTTGAATCATTTGGAGTATGAACACGGGCACACTCGATCTAAATGTGTTTTTTAAACCCATTGTCGTTGTTCACAGGGGTTTCTACATGACAAATCTCTGGCCCGTTTATTCTCGCCGGCTATTCCCGTGTTTCGACAGCCCGGACAAAAAAGCCGTCTTCAAACTCACCCTGAATACGAACTATACATATGCAGTTTCTAATATGCCGCTCCTCAGAACGGAAAAAATCATGAATGGGTACTTCCATTATTCCTTGTGTGACGTCTTTAGAATTAGGTTACCTCGGTCAGCTTTGCCCGACAAAGTTAACCTTTGGGTCAATCGGCAGATAGGTTTATTTAAGCCTCCAACGCATCCAGTTTTTCACTAAGCATTCACACTCACTTGTACAAGGTGTCCTATGTACAGACCCTAATACTTCAGCTGTTCAAAGTCTGATTCTCATTTCTATCCGAGACTTTTCAGGCTATTTCAACCTTTCACAACTTTATTCCAAAAAGTTCCCTGTATTTCCTAAAATGTTAATTCTACTGTTAATTTGATTCCACCAATAGGAGTGCCATTAAATATTCTATGAGATTCGATTGCTGTTTTAAATTTTAGAATATTGCTTAGAATATTTACTTTTACGAGTTTCTGAAGCTCTTGCCTACAGTTAAAGTAAGATATTTTTAGTTTTGTATGCACTGAAAGACATGGCGCTTACAGAAAATTTGCTACTATTAATAAGCTGAAAATACTCTTAATTTTTTCAAAACGTCAGTTATCATCAACGTAAAAACAATATTTAATTGCTAAACTTGTGATTTTTCGATTTCAAACGGTTCACAAAGTAATTCATTAGTATTTTGGAATATCTATTAAAAAACGATGAAAGTATTCAACACTTAGTAAACCGAAGACTCTGGTACAAAGTTGAACATAACAAAAAACAAAAAGCTTCTAAAAATTAAATTTAATTCTTTAAATTAATTATTCTTTGTATGTAAGGTCTTAGTTGAAATGAAAAAGTTAGTGTCACGAGCGGGATTCGAACCCAGCCGAAGGTCGAGGGTTCGAATCCCGCTCGTGAAACTAACTTTTTCATTTCAACCAAGACCTTACATACAAAGAATAATTAATTGAAAGAAGTAATTTGGACAATCATACCACTAAAGATAATGGATTAAATTTAATGTCAAAAATGTCTGACGTTGGATCGCTTATTGGGTCCGTCTTCACTCGTTCGTTTGTTGAATTGTTCAAACCCTATCGGCATTGCATCATCTTCAGTGATGACTTCCTCAGTTTCCCCTAGAGTAGATCAAAAGAATAAAAATTTGTTGTTTATAACTTCCTGTTCCTCGTAAGACATGCAGTTGGGTGAAGGTCTGGTACTAGTTTTGTTTAGATAAGGCTCACATATGCCAGGGTTTGTCCGGATTCTGATGAGCGTCAAAAATAAATTTTTGGTTCCGTGTACTTCTTGAAACCATGGGGAGATATGAAATAAATTGAAATATGATTGAGTCATTGATGACACATGGCGAAGTTATCGTTAGTGAAAATGTTTGTTACATTAAGTAGCATCAAGTTGTACTGATACTTTTGAACGGCTTGGAATTCACTTTACACATGAAGTTCAAAACACGAACCTATTGTGTAGAAGCATAGTAATGTTTTTCCAATCATTTTTATCTATTTGACGTATTGCATTTTTACGCATTTATTTTTAATACGGGCTGATCTGCGCTTTCACTATTTTTTGAGAGTTTATTATAGATGATTTTTGTGTACAGTTTAAATGATCATGCCATCTCCAAATTGGGCTGTTAACATAGAGGAAATACGTGGCACTAAAGTAAATGTCCATGTATCATCCGCCTATGGCCTATTCTGAGTCGGGTGAGAATTATCCCTCTCCCTGACCTAGCTCTTTCTTCTTATGTTCTGTGCCGTTCCAGACTAACGACATAACTTATAGGTGGTTTAAATTATTATATTTTACTATAAATGGTTTCTAGCATGTAATTTTATATTGTTATTTTTTCGGCTGTCTGTATCTCAACTTTTGATAAATAAGTTGCTAAAAATACCGAGGTTATTTTTATGGCGTTTTGCTATAATCAACTTTTTCAACAAATTTTAAAAAATATCATGCAATGGGAATTTTTTGTTTTAGGTTTCGTCACACATTCAAGGAAACACCTAAAATACCAGTTCATAGTTTATTTTTCTTAATTGGCCCCACCGAGTTCACCACTTGGGACCACTTTTACTGGGGGAACGTTTCGTTAAATCTCTATCCTCATTTCCCTAAGATTAAGTTTTTCAGCTCAATTTTTCAAGTAGCCAATTCTACGCTGTTTCAATATTTGTGGAAGAAGTCCTCCATGGAGAAGCTCAACGTGCTCGTCGTGCCTGATTTGGTCGAACCCTTCTACTCCGGATACGGCGTTTTGGTTTTGAAGTAAGTCGGACATGGTCAAAAGTAAAAATTGTCTACATTTTATTCACTAAACTTTTCAGGGACGAACTCGTCAAGTTCGACAACTATGATACAACCACGCAAATAAAACTGGAAGCGGCCTATAAAATACTGGAAGGATTTTTACACGTGTTCTATGGCTCCGTGGTCTCTCCGAGCCATTGGGAAAAAAATTGGCTGACCAGTTCGATAGCTCACTATTTAAAGTTTCGAGCTTTTAATACAGTATGTTGCAACAATTGTGATAGTTTATACTTAATAGCTTTTGACAGCTTTATACTTAAAAGCTCCTTGCTTTTTAAATATATACACCGGCTTTATTATATTTACTTTGTTTGATATTTTTGATGCAGTTATGCCGGGTCACTTAATTTTGTGCTGCAATGCTAACAATTGAAAAAGTCCGGTTGCAATTTTAGCCTGTTTTGTGTTCTCATGTTTCACTTGATGGTGAACGAATCGAACTAGGGTTGCACGGTTGCTTCACCAAAATTGGATGTTTCCGGTCCGCTTATTCTCGTCTGACTTCACAGGCTCAACAGCATGAACTCCCAACGATTAATCAATTATGATCCGATCATTGTAACAATATAATTTATTATTTCAATAGGACGAGAAATGGGGGGATCTGGACGAATTCAAGCTTTTGGATGTCCATTTTAAAACTCTGAGCACGTCTTGGCAGCCGTCTTCCGATTCCGTCCAACCGACAACGCCGTTCAAAGATACAAACGAACTAGAAAGATTCATAACGGGATCGTCACAGATAAAAGGTAAATTCCGGAACAGGCCAAATTTAAATATGCAAAAGATTTGATTTTAACAGATTAAAATCACTTTCAGGAGCTTCAGTTCTTTTTATGCTAGAAACGTTAATCGCAGGGAGCAAGTTGGAGATGGTTCTAGTCGAATTCTTAGATAAAAAGTAAGATAAACCGTTCTTATCTTACCATATTTTAACAAGGAATTATTTGTTCCAATAATTACATTATTATTATATAACAAATGTTCACTTTTTTATACTTCACTAATTTATCGCAGTTGTAATATACTAAAAAAGTTTAATGTCTAACAATTATTTAGTGATCTAACTACAGTTATGATGACGCTGTACGATGTTTGTTTGGCCGAAAAAGTTCGTTTTTAGCCTGACTTAGAAACGGTTACTTTGTATTTGTTCGTTTCCAATCATTTTGGTTTACTTATTTCCGCTAGTTTAGGCAGACCAAAATGATCGGAAACGACCAAAACAACAGGTTTTACATGCCGTCGAAAAAAAAAATCACAAGTTACAATATACTTAGTTAATTATTTATTCGTAATTATTATTATTTTTTTAGTAAATACAGCGACCATGTAGACGAAAAAACTCTATTTGCCGAACTTTCCATGGTTATTAAGAATGTACCTGTCAAAATGGACGACTTTTTGTACACTTGGATTACACAGAGACGCTTGCCTTTGATCGAATTGTCGATGCGTAACGACGGTGTTACTTTAACGGAGGTAGCCTTCGAATTTAAGCTCACTCAAATGGATATTTGACATTTTTCTTATGATGAATAATTTTAGAGTGTTTATTCGAATGGAGATAAAGGGGAGAACGCTACCGTTCTGTGGGCCATGCCGGTCACGTATACGACCAGATCCAACCCGACAGACCTCGCCCCGATATGGTTCCTCGACGGAACGTCATCTATAAAATTAAATGTGTCCGAGAACGACTGGGTAGTTTTGGCAGTAGACGGAAAAGGTATTAAAAACGGTTTATGATTATTACACTTAATAAACTATATAATGATTGTTGGTAGTGCCTCTGGTTAGCAACTACGACGAGAGGAGTTGGTACCTCAACGGGGAAGCGCTCCAGCAGAATATGAACTCGTTTTCTCCGAGCACGAGGGCGAAGCTCGTAGGCGATGCGTTCAGGATGGCGAAGGACGGAAAAACCAGTTACTTATTTGTTCTTAATTTACTAACATATTTGGACAACGAGAGGGCTTTGGCACCTTGGTTGAAGGCCATAGAAGGCTTCAAAGAAATGTATTCTTGGATATTTTACACCAGTTCGAATTCTACGTTTAATCTGAAGGAGGACTTTCAGGTCGGATATAACAAAAATCAATTCTCATCCTTCATATTTTGATCGTTGAATTTCAGACGTATGTCATCAATCGTATGTCGGCGGTATATCATACGCTGGGCTTCGAGCCGAATAACACTGATCACAAAACGGACATACTGAGGAAAGAAATAGTAGGAGCTATGTGCTACTTCGGCTACGAGCAGTGTCGATCCGAAGCGATGAAACTTTACTTAGAAATGAAGGACAACAAATACATGTAATTTTGCCAACGGAACAATCAGCAAGAAATAAAAAACTAAAATAAAAATATTTCACAGTCCGTCGAACGACATGAGAACGAACCTGGTTTGCGCCGGCATGAGGACCGTTCAGAAGGAAACGGAATGGATGCAGATGTACGAAGAACTGATGAATCGAACTCTTACGGACCCTGTTTTCGATCTGTATCTGGATGTTCTAGCGTGTCCTACTCGAGAAAACAGCAAATCAATAAGAAAGTAAAGAAATCCTGTTGTTTTCTTGAATTTATTTTGATTTGAATCGTCAAAAGAGAATTTCCATTCATTTAGTCAACAAAGCATATTGATTTGCCTTTGTAACAATTACTTTTTTGTTTAGTTTGCCATGTTGTTTTTCTTGTGCATTTTCATGTAAAGTAACTTAAATAAGAACATACCAATCTTTGTGATTTATGGATTTCGATTACAAGGTCAATATTTAAGTTTTCTTGCTTTTAGAAGTAAATAGAGTAGATTATTTTTTACTAGTCATTGGTTTTTTTGAAAGAAAATTGTTTTATTGAAAGTGAAGTTAATTTGGCAACTTAACGTTAGCAAACTATTATTATTCAGAAATCGTGAGATGCGATCTGGTGTGATGTAGGTTTCAGAAAAATATTTTCTTTATCGTGCCAACGTTTCGGTCTTTATTGAGATCATCTTCAGGGCCTGGGATTTACAAACATTGTTTAAATTTAACAAATACATGCTGGATGTGGAAAAAAATTAATTTATACAATGCAAAAAAATATATTGTGAGTAGAAATACTTTGATCGAATATAAAAAAATATGTTTTTTTGTATTATATAAATTCACTTTTTTTCCACATCCTACATGTATTTGTTAAATTTAAACAATGTTTGTAAATCCCAGGCCCTGAAGATGATCTCAAAGATCAAAACGTTGGCACGATAAAGTAAATGTTTTTCTGAAACCTACATCACACCAGACCGGATCTCCCGATTTCTGAATAATTATCGACTAACGGTCACTACTCACCACACGTTAGCAAACTATTTCGATACTTTCCCATTTTGAACCACTAATATTCTTCATATATCTCTTTCTTGTGTTTTATCTTGTTATTTTACTTTCGTTCGATAAACCAAATAAAATGTTTTCAGATATCTTAGCACGATATTTTTGGAGAAAGGCGAAATCCCTGTTTCGAAAATTTCCGTAGCTTACCGAGCGGTTTACTCGAAAGCCGAACATATAAATCAAGCGCTTTACTTTCTGCTCGACAGGAGTATGAAAATCACAAAAATCAGGTACACAAACCAGCTTTATCTATATTTTCTTGTATTTTATTGTGTCTTTTAAAGCCCGTACAAACTGGCCGAACTGCTGAACGAAGTCACGGAGTACATATCAACAACTTATCACGATAAACTGGTAAGCAGTATCAAATATTTTAAGTTCTTTCCTGTCGTTCAATGTATTGATTTTGTAGCTGAAGACCTTTCTGGAAAGTCACAAGGGCGCGGCCAAACCGTTTGTGGACGCTGTCAAGCTCGGACGGGACAAGTTTCAAAAAAAGCAAAGTTTCATAATGAAGAACGTGAATGACATTCATGCAGGATTGGATACACGACCGACTCTGCCTCCGACGGCGACTCCCGATACTCCAACTTCAACTCCGCCTACAAAACCTCCAACTACAGCACCGCCGACTACGAGACCACCGCCGACTACGAGACCACCGCCAACAGGAACACCAACAACACGAACCCCATCCACTTTATCCCCCGTTCCTACAACGCCAGCTCCAGAGTCGGGTGGGCTCTCCGTAGGCAGCATATCGCTCATCACGGTCGGTGTTCTCATAGCCGCAGCCTTAATAGGACTGATCTTCTATTATTCGTGCAGACGAGGAGGATGTTGTGCTTAGAACAGTTTTATAGTTAAAAATTCACCATTCTACCTGTCATTTTAATTACAAACGAGAATGAAATTGTTGCCATATTAAATTTCTAACCTTGCTTTGCTTTATCTTAAAGGTGATACAGTCACGAATAGAAAATGTATAAACACGAGTTGCTTGGATAAAGATGGATGATAGGAAGCGGGGTTTGTGCTCCCCAGGCATTGCAGCCTTCTGGCTTAGTGTTCCTTGCAAAACCAAATTAATGAGATTATGATATATTGTAAATAGACAAAAGTGCGTATATATAAAGATTATTTTTAAGGTGTTATTTCATTGCCATGCATATATATTCTATACCTCAAAGAATAAAAATAGCTGATTTAAAAAAAAAGTTGATAAAAATTATTTCAATTAGATTTCCAATACCTATTTTAGTTTGCTCTTTCTGGAATGGTTAAAATTGATTATTTCTTAACAAAACAATCTAATAATGGCAGTGGAATAGTCGAAAAATATGCATTCAGTTGTAAGATAATTTGCCAATTTCAACTCTATTTATTTCTAATTTTCCAAAGTCACGAAAAATTTTAAAATTTTGAACGATTTGGGTTTTTTGTGTGCGTATCAAAGCTGTCAATGTTCAAAAATAAAACAATTCGTTTATTACCGTAAAACCTAATACAACATTTTTATTTGGAGTATGCCCACGATATTCAATTTAATGTCAGAACAGTACTGACTAGTGACTACATAAGTTCAAAACTGCACACTCGTGTACAGAGTTGAGCATAATCTTTTCGTGGTCCACCGGCTTTTGTACTTTACAGTGATTTACAGACAGACCTAGAGAATCATCTTTCTCTCTATCTCTCTCTCTCTCTCTCACACACACACACACACAAACGCACGCACGCACACACACACACACACACACACACACACACACACACATCCATACACATTGTTCAAAAAACGCCTAAAAATTCAACAGGATTGAGATAGAACAGTTCAGTTGATAGCATTTTACTCTATTTACGATGTACTATAACCCAGATGTTTTTTCGGGTTTATGCTGAACCACCATGTATATCTATGTGCAAGTTCATATATGCAGGGTGTAAACATAGCAGTGTCAATCAAGGTTTTCTCCGAAACTAGTCAGCCTATAACTCTCTCTCTCTCTCTCTCTCTCTCTCTCTCTCTCTCTGGAACACACATATTTCTAACTTTCTCTAAATTTCTCTAGAATATAATAGTAATGCAAATATTAAAATAAATCTCTAGAATGGGTGTGCTCCCTACCTGCACTTTATAGCAAAAGATTTTTGTATATTATTATCCCATCCCCACGTTTCGTTGTGACACATTGCGATCGTTGTGAAAAAAAAGTATGATAGTTTTGTATTTTGTAGCTCAAACGACGAACGAAAAACACATCACCGGATGTAAATTAATAAGGAAAGCGAGGTCGGGTGGGAATTGGTTCATTCTACAATTATCCAACATCCTCGGCCAAATTCCAAGTCCCCAGTTTCTGTTTTTTTCAAATGTGCCCAAGGCAGGAGAAGAAGCCATCCACGGTCCCATTATCAAATCGAGCGAGTTTAGCTGCAAAGCAGGCGAGATGATGTAACGCCTTTCTGAGCTAATTGTGCGAGAGACCCAGAGATGTTTCAAATGCAATAAAAATTATCTGAAAAGATAACGGTTGCTTTATTCTTTCGTGAGAAGATCAGTCGCCAGTAGCTTTCTCCCCTTGAAACGATTTAAGATGCTAACCGCTCTAATCTTGCTACTCGCGGCTTTGGAAACTGAGTGCATTTCGAATGACAACGACATCGTTGTCAACAGCTACAGGCTTTGGATGAAGCTAAATGATACGGATTTCTCATACAAAGGTGAGCCGATTCATACATTAATCATTTATACCTACAGTTCTGCAAGGAAAAATTATCCCCTTGAACTCTCATGTGAAAAAACTTAGAATCATAAAACACTGGTTAAAAATATATAATAGCATAGCAAATAACAATCTAGAATGAGACCAATTATAAAATACTTAGCTACTTTGTCGATCTTTTGAGAGATATATTGGTGCGGTAATGAATATTTCATTCTACTAGAAACTACAGATGCTAAAATTTTGAATATAAATCCACATTTGTTAACCTTTTAAAGCATTAATTTAAGTTCTGCAGTCCCGAAGAAAACAAAGTATTTCTCGACAGTAGTATGCGTTATCTTTCAAGTCAGCTTACTCCTGTTTTTTTTTTTAAATATATAATTTCAATTTTAAATGATCATCACTAATTATATTGAAAAACATATAAACAATTAACATCTTAACTGTATAAAAAAATTTACTTAATTGTTAAAATATACAAATTAATTAATTAACGTGAGGCCAAATGGGTAGTAATGAATGGCCGTTTCCTATTTGTAAGCAGACACAAGTTCGATAAAACGAACAGGCTAGTAATAAATCTGCAAGGAATTAAAATGTTTAACTGAAATTAAAAATAAAGAAATACTACAAAAATAGTCCGACAATTTAATTTTATAGTCAACAGATTTGGATAAAAATTTTCTTAATTTATACAGTGGGATTTTTCTTAAGAACATTCAATACCTCGTCTGGTTTTTGTCTTAAGTGTTTAGCATTTATTCGTCTTGATTCGTCAATTTGAACTTTTTAGAAGGCAAGATTTCTTAAATTCTTAGTAACAATCGAAAAATCAGTATCAGCATAACATATGATAATTTTTGTCTAAGTATATGAAATAAGCAGTAATCTAAATGGTGTGAGTCAAAATTAAAACCTAGAATTTCAAATAATCAATAAATAAATATAACTACATTAGTTGCTTTTGGAATATGTTTCTGTGATAAACAAGTATTTTGATGATAATATATGATCTTTAATTCTATAATTAAATTGATGTAAATGAACAAATCAAAAATATATAATTAAATGTCATTTATCTTTTAAGCAAAATACAAAGAATATAATAGTTTAATTTATTTGTATTAAATAGGGTTTCGAATTAGTCAAATAGAGAACAGTAATTTTCTCTTTTATTTTATTTATTTATTTATTTTAGTTTTTTGAATTTGTCACGTTGTTGTGTTAGTTTGTAGTGTTAGTTTGTTTACATTTTTGTACCCTTTAATGTTGCTCGTCTGCTCTTTTAATTAAGTAGGGTTTATTGAAGTAATCAGCCGTTTACCATTTATTTTAATTTGTCTAACACGTTGCCTCTTAGCACCAAGGTCTGTTTCCTCTTGTTATGAGTAATTTCATTAATCAGTTATATTGAAATTGGCAAATTTAGGCGCTTTCAAAATAAATAAAATTTATTATTTACAGTAGGTGTAAGTTTGTTGTAACCAAATGTTTTAGAAAAAAAGATAGACAAGATAGGTTAATATTATACTTGACAACTATTGTTTCAGTGGTTCCGAATACAATATATAAAACCTATTTTTATGATTGTTAATTAATATTTTGTTTAAAAATTCATAAAAACAGCCAAATTTTAAGCAATTGCAAATATGAGACTTTGAGCCAATTTCTCCATTAAATTGAAAAACATAATTTGTTGTATCTTACATTGCCCTTGTATTACAATATTACTGTTATTATCCGTCCGACCATATTCATCCAAATTGCTTATTGAGAATATTATTGATAAAATTATAAGATAGTTGTTCTTAAATCTTGTGGATTCCATACTTGTGCCGCAAAGGTAATTTTTTGTAACCTGAAATTATCGGATTATGGTGCGAATGCGTTTATGCTGCACGATTTTTTCTTTTTTTCTTTATGATTGGTGAAATGTACATAGTTTATGTTGAGAGCGTACAGAAAATTACATAGGGGATGCGGACCGTGGCCTCAACGGTTTAGGCGATGACACGGCGCTCATCACTGTAACGTAAAGGTTCCGGCATTCGAACCCGACATAATTACAAATAGGCTGCTTTTCATTTACTTATTTGCAACTGCACTTTCATTATGCAACAAGCAAAAAAGTTGAAATTATTAGAGTATTATGTGAACGTGCATAATAGGTATGTAAGGCATGAATGGCTCCATCCAGTGATGGGTTAGTTCACCACCAACTTGGCAACTGTCAAGTAATCTGTTTAGCAGTTTGAACTTTCATTTAAATTTGTACATTTGAGTCTTGTATAAGGATTCCAAGACGATTGTCGAGGTACAGCCCAAGTTATCGTACGTTTTTCGCGAAGGGAATGTGAAGATAGAAATATAAAGGAGGGAGAGTTGTTTTTGTTATGGATTAAAACAATATATTTCGATTTAGCATCATCAACCTCATTATCCATTGTTGGAGCCAGGATAATAGTGTGTGTAGCGATTTTGTAAATTGCGTGAATTTGTAACGGAATCATCACATCGGAGGTGAGTATTGATGTGTCATCATCAAAGGTAAAAATGAAAGTGTTAGAGACAGTGGGTAGACCAGCCTGTGGAATACCATCGAGAATCGGGAAAATAAATGTACTGTACAGTTTAGAAGTGACGGCCTATATTTTAATTTCAAAAAAGTTTTTGTAAGTGACTTCACGCTTTACACCTACAGGACAAACAATTTAGGTTTTGATGTAAATATGATTGACCAGCTACTATTCACAATATATCAAGTGGGATCGGAGCTGTGGTCCATTGATCCTACCAAATATATTGTAGGTAATAGCTGGTCGATCACCATTACATGATTGACCACAGGGGTTCGTCTTTCCATCACAATGACTTTCTACAATGGGATAAAGGAAGAATTTGGCTCAGTATGTCATGAGAAAATAAAGTAATACTCTAGCACTAACAAAAATGATAAACAGCAAAAATAGACAGTGGTTCCTTCTAAATGTAGAACCCACGGAATTTCTCCAACAGATATTGTAAATAACCAAAGAACTTATTCCCACACAAAGAACCAGGTTGTCCCAATCATCCCAAACATTTAATTTATAAAGAAGAGTTAAAAGTAAAAAAAAATATATTTAAACATAGATTTAAAAACACCTGTACGGACATTTGAAAAACTAAAAAAAAAGATACTAAAAGTCTGGTTTAAGGACTATCTTCCCTTATCTCTTACTCTCTCCTCCCTTCTTCATACTTATCCAACTAACAAAAGTTTAGTGATCAATATTTAAAAAAAACAAAAAAAAAACAAAAAAAACAGTGTGAAATTCTCAACAAAAATTCTTAAAACTAAACCATGCTCAAGTACATACCACCTATAGAAACAGGTGGTAAATCTTACTAATGTATTGGGTTGTCCGGAAAATAATGCAGGATTTTGGTATTAAACAAAAAAAAAGAAACTAGTTACTTTAAAGCAATGTTCTTTAATCAAAATAATTTCCCATACTCTCAATACATTTCTCCCAACGTGTTGGTAACTTATTAATTCCGTCTGAGTAGAATTCAGAATTTTTAGAATTGATAAAGTCAATAAATGCATTTTCCAGTTCCGTTTGATTTTTGAATATTATGTGTTCTAAGTAGTGGTCCAGGTGTCTAAAAAAATGGTAGTCAGTAGGCGAGAGGTCCGGAGAGTAGGGTGGGTGAGGCAAAGTTTCATAGCCAAGCTCCAATAATTTTTGTGACGTTACACGTGACACATGTGGTCGAGCGTTGTCATGCAACAAAATGGGCCCTTTCCGATTGACCAAAGAGGGCTTCATTACTGCCAATTTCTGATGCATGGTATTAATTTGGTTACAGTATGATTCAGCATTGATGGTTTCGCCAGGATTTAAGAAGCTGTAGTGTATTAAACCAAATGAAGCCCACCATACCGTAACCATTACCTTTTTTTGATGAGTTGGGGGCTTTGGAAAATGTATTGGAGCTTCTCCTTTGTCGAGCCACTGTCCAGAACGTCTAGTGTTATCGTAGAGAATCCACTTTTCGTCACATGTAACAATTCTGGCCAGAAATGGGTCATTTTTGTTTCGACAAAGAAGTGATGCACAAACATCAAAGCGCTGATTTTTTTGGCGATCGTTTAATGAGTGTGGAACCCAATTTTCGAGTTTTTTCACTTTTCCAATCGCCTTGAGGTGGTCAGCGACGGTCGTTTTACTGACTTTGAGTTGCTCTGCACCCACCACTGATCGCAGAACATCATCATTAAGAGAGGAAGGCCTTCCACGACCTTCTTCATCTTCAAGGCTGAAATCTCCCTCCCGAAATTTTTTAAACCACCTTTGCACAGTGCACTCATTAACACAACCCTCGCCCCAGACTTGGTTAATGTTTCTAGCCGTTTGGGCTCCGCTTCGGCCGAGTTTAAACTCGTAAAAGAAAATCGTACGAAATTCTCGCTTTGACATTATAAGGATGACTGAATTATTTCCAAGTAGCGGAATGCTACAGAGGTAAACAAACAATATCATTTGGAAGAGGATTAATAAGTGTTGACATTCATACAAATGAGTAATCCTGTAAACGTAAACAGAATATTTTATATAGATTTTTTTTAATGAAAACTTAAAATCCTGCATTATTTTCCGGACAACCCAATAACAATCCCTAGTGTGAACAGCATGTTAGGTTTAGTTCCCATGTATAATTTTCCATATAAAAAGGGTAACTCTCCAGTCAAAGATTTAATTACAGACGTGGAAATGATAGTTAATGGCATAAATTATCTAAAAGAAAAAAATATCGTCAGAACCGAAGTTGTCAATGTTTAAAATCTGGATCAATCAGACAAAGATCATCCAATTTATGGACAAATCGCACTAAAATGAAAAAATGAAAACACTACTAGAAAACAAAAATGTCTATAAAGTAAGAAAAATGGACCCCCCCAATGTCACCGAGTACATTGAATTTAGGCATTGGTTATCGTTATTAGAATAAAATCTTAGTTTCTATTTGTGCTTTCTTTGATGTCACTCGGCAATCTATGTACAAAATACTATAACATGAATCGTAAATTATTATTCGTTTTACTCGAAGGGACTGTCAGCGTAAAATTCAAGACGATGTTGGCTCCGAAGAAGCTGTACCTCAACGCGATGGGCCTAAAGGTCCTGTCGTCCAACATAACTGTGGACGGATTGTTCGACTTTCCTCACAAACTATCTTCAGAAAATAACAAATTTGTTGTGGTCGAAGGTTTGAGCCCTTTCTTCAATCTTTACCATTACACGCTTAGCCTAGAATTCGAAGGCCATGTTAGCGACGGACTGGACGGTTTTTACAAGGGGAATTACGCCGATCTTCAAGGGAATTTATGGTAAATATTAACAGTGTTATTTCTAGAAAAGTAATTGTTGACAAAAACTTTTCGAACAGGGAATACGCTCTCACCAAATTCGAACCGGATAAGGCAAGTTTTGTGTTCCCTTGCTTCGATATCCTCAAGCTAAGAGCACCGTTTCAACTGACGTTCACCGTCCCAGAAAAATGGACCGTGATATCAAATACACCATCCAGCAAAGTCGAATCAAACGAGTAAGCAAAGGATATTTTCAGTTCGTATATTGTTTAACGTTAAGCACATTATCAACTTGTAGAGACAAAAGGTGACATTGAGCCAAATGAAAATTTTTTTAGCTTTGAATTGGAGGAAAAGTTACTAATAATAGTGACTTTTCCTTATGAATACATATCCTCCTTCCTTCCCTTATCTTCAGGTAATCCTCAAGACTATCATTTCCTCTCTTGTGTTCAGCATTTATATCAATGATCTCCCCGACTCCATTCAGCACCGCGATTACGACCTCTATGCCGACGACTTTCAAATTTGTAAGTTCCATCCCTCCGAACCGAAGATTTGGCTATCCCCAGAATTCAGGAATATCCGAATTCCATAAACGAATGGGCACATAAAAACTACCTAGAATTAAATGCTAGAAAGTCCAAAGCCATTGTTATAGGATATTTTCACCGCTTCAAATACCTACCTCCTTTCATCTTCGTCAACCAACTATTTACTTCTGCTCCACTGTTAAAAACTTCGGTTTTACCTTCGATCAAAACCTTTCCTGGAAACCACATATTTCCCAAATTGCCTAATGCTATATTGAATACCTCATTCAATTCCGCTAGTCCTGCTCCTTATAGCATTCTACCTTTCACCACTCGTAAACTCCTTGTCTCCTCCCTCATCTTCGACTACAGTTGTGTCGCTTATGGCGGACATTCGGAGGAACAAGAAGAGCATCTGAAAATACTGATGAATGGTTGTGTCAGATTTATTCCCCCCCCACCCCCGAATATCTAGAGACTCACCTGTATTCAGATCTATCCCTCCTTCCGTAGAAAGTATTCCCTAGCCTCCTTCCTTTACCAATCCATAACTCTCATCGACTATATTTTCAAGCCACTTCAGTTCAAATATTCTTCCAATAATCTAGCCAATCCGCAAAGCTGTCTCCTTTATTCTTTTAAATGCCTCCTGTAGCAAAATCCCATCTCCCTCCAAACAGAGACAACATAGTTCACAATATCGTTATGTGCTTTTGCTATATTCGAAAACTTCCTTTTCTCAACTTTCAAGTTTACAGTTTGTGTGTAAATTCGCAAAAGACAATTTTTTATTATTACTACTTTTCCCTAAATTCTTATTTGCTACTATTATTTCTATTTTTTTATATTTTGTATAATGTAATTTAGTTCAACTTATTTTCTCGATGTTAACGTCGAACCTACATTAATTCAAGTGCCCGTTTTGTAAAAATGTTTGTGACCTTTTTGTTATTCTTAAAGGACTCTAGTACCAGAATAAAGTTTTCTCTCTCTCTCTCTCTCTCTCTCTCTCTCTCTCTATCTCTCTCTCTCTCTAATATTTCTAAGCCAAAGTAATGTTTGATTTAAATGATTAACAATTTATATTTATTGTGAAATTAAGCTTTTTGTTAACTTTATGTTAAATCTTGTAGGCGTACCCTTGCGATCAGAGTAGGCATCCGATCACAAGGGTACGCATACATGTTGTCTCCTTGAACCATTTCAGTAATTGTTTATATTAAAATTTAGAAATTGTGAATTTTGTGATATATGGTTAGTTTTAGTGACAGTATATTTGTAATTGGTTGTAGAGAAGGATGGAAGACGATAACGTTTTTGGAAACACCTACAATGCCGATTTATACTTTCGCTTGGCTGGTCTTTGACAACAGGACTTTCACGGCGGTGAAGACTAAATCAGTAGGCAACATCACTTATTCCGTTTACGCCCAGAACGAACTCGAGTCAGCGGCGGAATTCGCCATCTCAGTCATCCCCGAGTTGGTGTCGAAATTTGAAAGTTTCGTCGGGATCCCGTACGCGCAGGGAAACTTGGTGAAATTGGACTGCCTCGCCATTCCGGACCTGTACTCCTACGGGATGGAATCCTGGGGCATTGTTCAATTCAGGTTATTAATTGAAGCTGAGTGAATTAAATTTTAAAACGACAAATCCACAATTTTCGCTTTAGGGATTACAAGCTTCTATTCGACGAGGCAACAGACACCACGGAAGTATTGCAGGACAACTTTCTACTAGCGGCGCACGAGATTACCCACCAGTGGTTCGGCAACTTGGTGACCCCCTCGGAATGGAACTTTATCTGGTTGAGCGAAGGTTTTGCCAGGTATTTGGAATATTTACTGGTTGACATGGTGCGTAGACTGTAAATATTTTCACCAAATTCAGTCTACAAAAAAACTTGTATTTTTCAAATTTAGATTAAACCAGAATGGAGGTTGCCCGAGCAGTTTGTCACCGACGTGCTTCATGTCGCGATGAACGACGACGCGCCAGACCGAGAATGGCACCCTTTGGTACCACAGAGCGGTGGACCTTTTTTTGACCTTATTACATATGGAAAAGGTATTTTTATAAATTACGTCATTTTGTAATCAATTTAAGTATCGCTTTTCACATTTAGGCGCTTCTATTTTGCACATGGTATCCTCTTTTATGGGAAGGGAGGCATTTCAAAACGGAGTCAGGACATTTCTCAACACATGTGTGTAAGTCGTCCAATATAGCTTGACTTTTGTAAGACGTATTGACGTGAATTTTATACAGGAATCAGTCCGGACTTTCGAACCCTGATGAGCTTTACTCATCCCTGTCGAAGTATTACGGGGCGGGGGGTTCTGCACCGCCTTTGGTCAAAGTCTTACACAAATGGACAACGTCACCCGGGTTTCCGATACTTAACGTCAGAAGGGTAGGAGATAATTTGGAATTTTACCAGGTAGGTCAGGTCAATTATATCGTGTTTGCTTTTGCTTACGAATCCAAACGTACTTTCAGTCCAAGTCGGATAAAACGAAAGAAGAATTTGAAACGTGGTACATTCCAATACGAGTGATTACGGAGCAGCCTAAATCCAGCCCGATGGATCTGTTTTGGATCGGGGGCGAGGCGGATTTAACGTTCCCCGTCAAGATTGAAGACATGGGAAAATGGTATTTGGTAAATCCAAACCAAACAGGTAAGTTCCCTGCTTAAATGATAAAGTCTCTATTATAATCAACTTCCATCTTTAGTTTATTCCCAAGTGAATTACGATGAAAATAACTGGAAGGCGATTAAAGAAGACATGCTAACGAATCCTCAGCTCAACCCCTTGACAAGGTCTCAACTTGTACACGACGCATTCTCCCTTCTTGATTCTGAACATTTACAAGAAGACGTCGCCTTCGAATTCATCGATTATCTGACAGAGGAGACGGATTTCATTCCCTGGAAAACTGCTTTGCGAAAATTACAAGGGATAAGTGTCGCCTTCTACAGTTCAAAAAATATCGAGACCTGGAAGGTAAGATATTTTTACCTCAATTCATAATGTACATATTAAAGGCTAAACAAATAATAATTGGCATAGATAATGTTATTTTATTTAAAACTGTCCAGTGGTATGTCAGGTCGCTGATCGACAACCTGGTAAGCTCGATTGATTTCACTAATCTTAGCGACGACGATCATCCGACGAAACTTCACAAAACGAACGTCATGAAACACGCCTGTCTCTACGAACACCCAATCTGCAACGAGACCCTCCAATACTACTACAATAACGATACTGCTCTTCAGGGGTAAATTTTCAGCAATAATAGTTTACTCAAAACGTTAATGATTTTTTTTTTACTTTAGATCGCCCGATATGGCCGACGCCCTCATGTGCACCATGATAAAATACGGCGACACAGAAACATGGGAAACGTTATTTACAAAATATAAAGAATCCAGGCTTCCAGGAGAAAAGCTAATGATTTTACTCAACCTCGCATGCACCAGGAATGAATACAATTTGAAGAGGTATTTTTCTTGTTTCTGTCAAAATTTCAAAATATTAAGATGCATTAGGATTTCTAAATATTAACTTTGAATATATAAATATTGATCATGTTGCCCCAACAAGCTGAATCCTTTATGTTTTAACACAGGTTGAAAAAGTTGTATTTACAATGTTTTATAAAGACACAGTTTTAGAGGAAAAATAAAATTATTTTAACTTTACATTATTAACAAAAGTGCAGCTTCCACTAAAGCATAAGTACAACTAATACAAGTTTTTTTAATTGTAGCATTTCATAATTATCCCTTAATTATGTAGTTCATGTTTCGTTGGTTTCGGACCAAATTAAAAAAAAAATTGTTTAGACCACCTATTATTTCTATTACACATTTTTTGCACAGAATGAACTAATCTTATAAGGCTTCAAACATTAAATGGGCTACAAATAACAGTTTGAAAGTTGCAAAGCAAGTGTTACGGTTTATCTTGCCTTGACGAACTTCAAACTCGCCTCCTCTTGTGCTTTTTGAAGATTCTCAACTTTTATTTACATACATACAAAAACATACTTTCTAAATAATTTAAAAATGTAAAACTTTCTACATGATTTAGACTTCATGAATAGTCAGTCGTACAGTGCTTTAAAAAAAGGGACCCCATTTTTAGGATTTTTGTACGAGAGAGAGCTAAAACTGTGGGATCATAAAAATTGCGGAATTAAAGTCCTTAATCACAGTGGATCGTTTTGAAAGTAAGCAGTGAATCTGTCCACTCTTGTTATCCTTATGATCTGATAAATATACTTATATGGTTTTTAAAAAGACAAAAATTCTGTTTTCATAAATTGAAAAGAATCGATTGTTTGTAGAAAAGAAGAAATATATTTCATTTGATCTAATTGTTACTATTTTCTTATAGTATTAACAATTTATTTGGTATCGGATTTGTATTATAAAAAGGTACCTTTGTATTCACGTCCGATCAACACCTCTGGGGTTCTGTTTTCTGTTAATTTGGATGCAGGGTTGGGCCCGTTTTGCTTGGATCGAGAAATTAGCAGGACAAAATTATATAAACTCCCCAAGAGGAATCGGTGGGACATTTATATGTATTAATATTGGCAGCAACGGGAAAAATTCGTGCTCGATCAGAAAATCGTTTCGTCTAAAAATTTATAATTTTTCACCTTTCAGAAGGCTTTTCACCAAAAGCTTTTATCGTATTGAAACAATATTTTTTTATTTTGTAGCACAATAATGGACAAACAATCGTAGTGAGCAATTCTTTTAAAAAAATTCCCAGGAGTTAAGAAATAAATTTTTTTGCGTAGAAAAAAAGTGTAAAATTTAGAATAGTACAAAACGACCAATTCACTTTTTTTTAAAGCACTAGCAAAGAGTTTGTAACATACTAAGAAGATCAAAACCGAAAAGCATTGTTTGTAATAGACCAGACTAGATTTTGAGAAAATTATACTGAAAATTGACAACTTTTTGTACAACTAACGTAATACAATAATTATATATATGTTTTAGTTGGTTCTATTAAAGCAATGTTAACTATTTTAATTGATTTATTTTTTTATGCAAAGTGTGTTTGAGTTGAATAATTAGTCACGAGCGGGAATCGAACCCTCAACCGGATTAGTGCCCCTGCACTTTACCACTTGAGCTATCATGTCTTCGGGACACCAACTAATAACCTCAACCTACAACTTAAAACCACACTTTGCTTTAAAAAAATATTTAAAATATGGAAGCAAAAAGTATCCAAATGAAAATCCATGAAATAACTATTTTGGCATTTTAAAACTAACTATAAGTAAAAATAACACGTACAATTTACAGGTTAGTGAACGAAACCTTGGAACCCAGCGAAGTCAGAAAAGAGTTTCTAACTGATATGTTCATAAAAGTTAGCAGTTTTCCCGGAGGCGCGGAGATCGCTTTTAGATTATTGGTCGAAAGCAGGGATGTCATCTTAAAAAAGGCGAAGTAATATAAATATACATATTCATTTTACTTACCATGATCGAAAAATTGCGTTGTTTATTACTTGAAAATACAGACAAAAAATTCCACCCGATTAATTTTTTATTTTTATTTTCTCAATAAAAGAAAATTCTGCGCTTAGTTTATCGCAATGTTTTTACCAATAAATAGGTAAACACAATTAATCCTTAATCCAAAACAAGGATAGAGGATTTTCAATGTTTACTATTTTCAGAATTTAAAATGTTTTTTCAGTCTCATTTGAATATTGAAGCAATAAACTGTTTAGTTTTAATTTTTGTTGTCTTAATTTCAATTTTTAAGCTTAAAAATGCCACTGCGCGTTGGTGTGGCACTCATTGATGATGTACGTTCCATTGCCATCGGAGTTCCCTACGAAACTCTGCGAGACGCCGTTATACGTTTTCGAGAAACGTCCCGGTTCTGGACCCCCTAGGGTAAAAGAACCAAAGGATGACCGTTTTTTGACTTTGAGAATTTTGCAAAACCGCCACCTTATTGTTGTTCAAGCGATTCATCAGCTCCAAGAAGTTCGAGGTATTCAAATTTCTGAATTTCTGCCTCACGAAGATTAAAGCAGTATGGACTGATGGCTTTTCGCCCCGTAAAAGGACCAGAACACACAGAGTTGCAGGGCTCGCATTTGCTCGAGAACTCAGCCATTGGTTTGCTGTACTTTTAGCAGATGAGTACAGATTTGCTCTACCATCTCCAAATGTGCGTGAAAGAGTGTAGGAAAGGCGAAATGAAAGGTTCGAAGCCTGTAATTTATCCCAGTGCCAACCTTTTCGACGTGGCTCGGTGATGGTGTGAGCGGGAATCTCAGTGGAGAGTCGCACTGAGTTTGTTGTCGTTCGTGGAGAGTCTTTAACGGCCACTCGCTATGTGGATGAAATTTTGGAGCATCATGCGTTGCCTATCCTCGATGAAATAAGCGACAATCCTATTCTAATGCACGATAATGCCCGTCCACACGTCGCTCGCTTAGTACGAACGTACCTTCAACAGCATAACATCAGGGTCTTGGCCTGGCCAGCCCGTTCTCCAGATATGAACCCCATCAAGCATTATGTGATAACCTCAAAAGGACTCTTCGTGAAGAATGGGTTAACCTCCAGCAAAGAGACATTTCCAGACTGGTAGAAAGTATGCTGAGGTGACTTCGAGAAATAATCAAGGCAAGAGGAGGAAATACGGGAAAAGAAATGTTGAAATGTAAATTAAAAGAACTTTTATCTCTCCTTTTTTTTCCTGGCAATTTATAGTTTTTTAAACTTATGTAGACAAAAACTCAATTATTAAACATTAAGAAACGTAAAACTTTGACTAATATATAAAAATATATGAGGCGTTGCGGATACGAAGGGCGAACTCAACAAAAGGAGGTGTTGAGAAAAACTTATTTGAAAATAATTTTTCCTTTGACATGCGAAGGGCGAACTCAACAAAAAAGATTAAATCTGTTTTCGTTGAAGGATGCCTAATTTTTTGTTTATTAATGGTTACCCCATCTAGAGATTGGTCAGGAATTTGGTTGAACTTCAATTAATCAAAAAACACCCATTTTATTTATAAAGTCTGTATTCTGAAAACATACGTACATTTAAAATAATATTAAAATGACTGAAAACGAATTGTAATTTCTAATTTTTAATTTTTTCTTTCTTTTTTTTAATTTAAATTTTTAATTTTCTAATTTTTTTTGTAATTTCTAATCCTCATAATCGGGTTGATCATCTTCCGTTTCCTCGTTGAGCATGGGCATGGAAGATTGATTATTTTCAATAATATTATTAAAGTATGTTGACCACGGTAACGGAACGTATGGAGAATCCAGTAAACGCACTATTATTGTTAACATCCATTACTGCACACAATAAGATCACGATAACAGTAACAACAAAATAAACACTGCACGAGACAAGCGTTTTATGCAAACTAAACGAAGGATTGTATCATACAGTGGAGCGCGAAGAAAAGGGCAAGGAGCGGTGTTGAGTTCGCCCTTAGTATCCGCCCGCCTATGGCAGTTTCCAACTACAATCCAACTAGCATCGTATCATTCTCTTCATATTTCAGACGGATACGAAGGGCGAACTCAACATGAAAGCTATAACTGTACATTCTCTGAAGTGGCTAGATTCGGATGGTGACCAAAAAAAAAATTAACCTGATGTCGAGTTCGCCCTTCATATCCGCAACGCCTCATATATTCAAATCATGTTATATTAAAAGTGAGTGGAATTTTTTGCCTGCCAGTGTATTTGTCACATATTCTACAGACTCGAAAGGGAGAATCTTCTGATTCCTTCTCATTAGCCAATGAAACCATGCTTAATTAATTAATTTTGTTTTCGGGAAAAAACCACTTGCCAAAATTAATTATACAAATAAAAGAAATTGTACATTTAAATGCACAATAAAAACTATCACAGATTAAAGTAATTAAATAGTTTAAAAGTAATTAATTATTTTAACGACAAAGGTAGTTATGATGGTATGTAGTGGTAGAGTTTAAAGAATGTTGTTTGTTAATGTTGTTTTAGAATACAGTTTTTTTGTTTCAGGTTTGTAACAGTACCAAGTCTTTTCTACACTGTTTTGTACGGTGGCGTTGATTCGTCACTTATTCAAAAAGTATGTTGCTATCCATGACGAGATTGTTCTGTTTTATTGATCGCTTTTAAAAATTTCCAGCTCGAGGAGTTTAACAATGAAAACCACATTGGAATCAACATAGATGATGCCAAAAAAATCTTAAAGCAACGGCAAATTGTCGAAGCACGGGTTTGTAAGTATTTGAAATGCCCCTACAAGGTGAGCAGTGGTGTAAGATTGGATCTTAACTTGTTCATTTACCTTGTCGCATTTTCCTTATTACTCTTCTCCCTAAGATGAAAACGAAGGGAAATCTCAAGTCATGACTTATTTATAATAGCGTAAATGTACAAAATATAGGAATTTTAGTTTGACTTTTCTATTAATTTTCTATAGAAGGCAAACTTTCTAATAGACTTATCAAATAGGGCAGTCCCTGTGCAATAATATTTCATTTATTATCTGTATGTATTATCGTTCTGTTTGTATTATATGAAATAATGAAATATAATTTTACAACAACCAAGCAATTATTATTTCAATCCATAAAGAACGAAATTAAGTATTACTGGTGTGAAATGTTTTGGTTTTTCTTCCATAGGACTGAAAAATAAAGTTATTTGGGCAATAAACTCTATGGAAAATAAACAGTGCTTATTCGTTAAACGGCAAAAATGAAAGAGACATAACTGCTGATTGTCATTTTCTTTAAATTACACGTCTTAAAAGATTAGTGAGTATATTATAATGTGGCTTTAGTTGGATTTGAGAAGAATTATATTAGATATTTAATACCTCTTGAAGGTTGTAGACTGACCCCCTTTCCTGTACATATAAACAAATAAAACTCGTTAAAAATCAAACAAATGTTATTTCAACCAGGAAGAACAGAAAAATGACAAAGATAATCAGTAATTGGTAAGCGAGAACGGCCAAAGCGCTACTTACAAACCCTGAGCCGTGTAACTTTTCACCACAAGAACATAAATATATACAAACATATCTTACATAACAATCACTACCCAACATATAACCAACAGAATAATCAACAACTACAACTCAACACTAACACCATCTACTATTACTAATAACACTACACGAATTCTGTCAAACACAAACAAACCAACATACATATCCATACCATTCGTTGACGGCCTATCACACAAATTAAACACTTTTCTCTCTTTAAACTTCTAACTTTAAAATAGCCTTCAAAACTATAAAATAACCAATTTCTCTGACAGCCAGGCAGCACCTAGAGCTCTAGCCTCAGGCGGGGCTAAGGCAAAGAGTGTTTGGAACTACATGGAGGTCCTGACGGAAGTCTGCGACACCAATGACCTGTCCCTGGCATGGGTCCGTAGACACTGGGAGTCTGGGGGCATAGAGGCAACGAAAAGGTTGACATGTTGGCCAAAACGGGGGCCAACATGGACTCTCTGGGTCCTGAACCCTACCCCTGCCACAAAAGAGGATACGTTTTAAAATGGATCCTTAATGAGTCCAAAACCTGGTGGAATAATACCACAAGTATGAGGCACGCGAAGAGATTCATAGAGAGACCATCCGCAAAACTTACAAAAGAATTACTGGAAGGTATTCTGGTCTCCTGACAGGGCACTGCCACTTAAGAAAACACATGCGCCGGATAGGAGTACAGGCAGAAGAAGCACGGTGCAGATACTGCCATGAACAGAAGGAGACCGTAGAACACATTCTTTGTTCCTGTGAAGGTCTATGTAGGTGCAGGTTATTGCAACTAGAACAAAAAACAACAAGCAAGATTGCCGCTGGCAAAGCTATGGAGGCTGATTAACAACCTGAAGCTGGCCAGTGAGTTATAAAAAACAAGGGAGCACAATAGATCTATTCAGGTCGAGAAGCAGCAGGCTTTGTGGCTGCCTCTTTTATCCCTATTTATCCTGTCCAACATTTTCATTGCCTCTATTCCCCGAATGCCCAAGGACCCTGCCAGGGTCAGGTGTCGATGACTTCCGCCAGGCCCTCCTCGCAGTCTCAAACACTGTTTGCGTCCACGTCCACCTCGCATGAGTCTAGGTCCTTAGTGCCGCCTGTCAGAGAAGATGGCAGATCAACACCATACCGCAATCCAGATTGTTCTTGTCATTTAAGAATTTAAGATTCTTTTGCCCTGAAGATGACCTTAAAATTAAACGCTTGGCAGTAACAACTGAATTTGCTTTCTTCTTGGGGACCATACCTTGGACCAGAGCATTCGTGAGTGAAAAAGTGGTCTATATTTCTAACACTGAAAACATAACCTAATATTTCAAGTTTATTTCTCTTTAAGTTTAAATTGCATTCCATATTGCCAAAACATCATAACAAGCTGGCTGATTTGATTACTCAGTTACACATCATGAAAGTGTGAGGTTAAAGATTGGTTGGGTTAAGGTCTGGGTGCAAAGAGCGCAGTTAATTGAATTTCCAATGGATTTAGACTTAGTGACGGATATGTTGGTGGCATCGTTGTGACATTTTTGGAGAGCTTATGGCCATTTTTCACTACGGTTCAAACAGTTGCCCAACTGTGCCAATGTTGTTGATGAACATGGTTTTGGTTGGTTTCACTAAACACATCAAACATGCGCGAGGCTCAGTCGATAGGCCAGCATTCGTTAGTGTGGTTTATGTTAATAGAAATGATGAAGGATCATGTAGATTCATGTTTTTGTAAATTATGGTTCTACTCACAGATCTGATGTTTACAGCGATCCGGATTTCAATCATCAAACGTTCTTCATCAGATTGATGAATTCAGATTCAATTATCAGATTGAAGGAGTTACATGAATTGTAATAGTGAAAGTGAACCCGCGGATCCAATACCGCCAACAGGTTTTTAAAACATAGTGATATCGATAAAGTTGTTTATCGATTTATTGCTGAGAGCCGTTAATGTCAATGTAACCTCCAAAAACGCCGAATTGTAACCTGCGAGAGATCTTACGAGTTTTATCGGCTGCAAGGCAGCTTTTTATTTGTGGGCCGGTCGCACCAGCTCACAGGAAATGCTGAAAATCTCGGATGCCTGTGCAGCGGACGGCGAGGAAGCGGCCGTCGACAAGGAACCGCCCGGCGACTGGGATCCGACCGCCCCCGCCGCCTCCAAAGAGAGCCCGCCCGCCCCCGACACCGTCAGGCCGACCCGAGACCCGGCCAAGTCTCTCCAATGCATCCCTCGTGTCAAAAGGTAAAATCCCATATTTTAAGAATTAAAAAAACAATATTTTTACTTTAAAGGTAACATTTTTTAGCATGAGATTTCCTTTTAAAATATTCGGGGTGATAAATTTATAGATAAATCGTTTCGAGCCATTTTGGTCAGCAGATTCCACATTGAAGATGGCAGGAAGCCGAAATGGATCTTAACAGGTCAAAACAGCGATGACACGCAGACAAAAATGTTTAGAAACGACTAAACTTAATTTTTTCACACTTAAATTACAGGTACCATGCAGACAATGCGTTCATTGTTGTGTCATCATATTCGGTCATATGTGATCATCATGATTATACTATTTAATTTGTCTGTCAGTCATGTTCTGTTGATGTTACCACCTTTAGGGGCCATTCTGTCAACGGCGATCAACTTAAATGCCAAGGACCTTACTTGACCCCTCTTCACCATTTCACATATCATTTTTTAATTTATATTTATGCTGAAAAAAAAAATATTGTAAACAATCTACCTACATTTTTCACGATTAAATATGTATTTTGTGACAGGGTCAATCAATGAGTTTATTTGTAACATAATCATCCTCAGTGGTACGTGATCATCATGATTGCCTTATTTGGTTTTGTCTGTTGGTCATGTTTCCCATTTTAACACCTTCAATGATCATTCTATCAGAGATGATCAACCTAAATGCCATGACCTTGCTGACCCCACAACACCATTTCTCATATAATTTTTTAATTTATATTTATGCTGAAACATAAAAAAATATGGTAAATGATCTACTACCTACATTTTTTCAAGATTATATGTTTTTTTGTGACAGGTTCAATCAATGAGTTTATTGTAACATAATCGTCCTCAGTGGTATGTGATCATCATGATTGTCTTATTTGTTTTTTTCTGTTGGATATGTTTCCCATTTCAACACCTGCAATAATCATTTTAATCAGGGACAATCAATCTAAAAGACATCACCTCACCTACCCTGTCACATCATTTAACATTTAATTAATTGGAATAATTATTATGACCAATTATGACCAGGAAGGAAATAAGGATTAATTTAATTTATATTTGAGTTGCCATGATTTACCAGTTGCCGATTTCAACACTTTCAGTGGCCATTTTGTCAGGGACAATCAACCCAAAAGTCATCATCTCACTGACTCAACTGCATGATTTTACATTTAATTATTTACTGTATATTTATGCCAAAATGTGCCTGGCTGACTAAAACATTGACGGTGGCATTTAAATATGATTGGAAATGACCTAACAACATTTTTTAACACTTAAATTTATATATCTTGTAACAACTGCCAATCAAACAATGAGTTTATCATCACCTCAAAGGGCAATTTTCTCAGGGATAATCTACTCAAAAATTATCTCACCAACTCAACCGCATCATTTCATATTTAGTCATTGTATATTTATTAACCTGACAGGCCAAAACATCAAAGGTAGCATATAAATATAATAGGAAAAGATTTAAGAACTGTTTTTACAGTTAAATATATGTGTCTTAAGACATGTCTTAATTAGACTATGAGTTTATTATGGCACCATCATCATGACCTATTTGGTTTTGTCTGCCAGACATGTTTGCTGATTTCACCACTTTCAATGGCCATTTAATCAGGGATGATAAACCTAAAAGTTACATCCTTACTGACCTCCTTCCATCATTTCACTAATAATTACTTAACATATATTTATGCTGAAACATTTTTGACAGGCCAAAACATCGAAAGTGGGAAAAAATGGTTGGAAAAGATCTAGCTACATTTTTCACACTTAAATTTATGCATTTGTGACAGGTGTCTATCCAACAATGGTTTTTTTGTACCATAATCATCCTCAGTGGTATGTGATATCATGATCATCCTGTTTGTTTTATCTTTCAGACATGTCTTGCCAATTTAACACTTATAGTGGCCATTCTGTCTGGGATAATCACTTAAAATGATTAGAAATTTACTAATCACATTTTTTCATACTTGAGAGAGACATGTTGAACCTTGCACTTGCATGCTGAGCATGAAACTGTTTCAACAGCTCGATGGATATTGATTGAATATCATGTGCTATGCGTGCTGTAGAGTGAAATATAAGCTCAGCACCGTTGTATCTCGTTAAACAACAAATTGTGTAAATGATTTGTTTTTCAGGGATATGCTTGCTATTTATCAAGATCCACCGCCTGGGATCTTTGTCATCCAGGATGAAAAGGACATCACTTTGATTCACGCCCTCATCACCGGGTCGTTTGATACACCTTACACTGGTGGTTTCTTTTATTTCCTTGTCAAATGCCCTCCCGATTATCCTATCAAACCACCAAAGGTTAAATTCATGACGACAGCAGGTGGTTCCGTGCGGTTTAACCCGAACCTATACAAGTGTGGAAAGGTGTGCATCAGTATATTGGGGTAATTATTGTTTGTTATTTGTAAAGAGAATAAATGTTAGACGGTGCAATTTGGTTATTGCAGGACTTGGTCTGGACCGCCTTGGAGCCCTGCACTCACAATCTCAAGTGTCCTCATCTCCATTCAAAGCCTTCTGACTGAAAAGCCTTACCATAATGAACCTGGTTTTGAAAGAGTAAGTCAGCGGGAGAAAAATTGCAATACACTGTATCAATGTGCTTTTAGGAGAGATTTCCTGGAGATAGCAGGAGATATAATGAGATTATACAGTACGAAACTATCCGTGTAGCTGTCTGCGGCATGCTGGAGAATGACTATGGCTTGAACATTCCCAAGCCTTTTATGGAAGCCATGAACCATTCTTTTATACAATTCTATGAATATTATGAATCTGCCGTCAAGGCCAAACTACAATTTAGTGGATGTGCAATGCAGGTGATGGTTTTTTAATTGCATCATTGTTAATCAACCACAAAAATGTTTTCGTGTTTTGTGTTCACCCATTTTTGACTTTTAAAGATTTGTTTGTTAAGGATCCTTTTGGAGAGGCTAGAGGCACCTTTGACTACAAGGGTCTTCTTGCGAGGCTTCAAGCCATCTACAATAGGCTAAAATCAAGTGAAGGTGATGAAATATCCACTTCTAGCAGCAGTGGCGATTCTGATTAAAGTACAAAAGTTAAACATTCCCTTTTTATATAATTAATTTTTTTTGAGATGGTGAAAAATCTGGTCTTGTAGATCTCAGACATTTGAACACTATAACAAATACGTTTACATACCATTTATGTCATTTTTAAATTTAGTTATGAAATAGGTTTAGGGTTTGAATTGGAAATGTTAAATTGAGGGTTACATTTATTTTCAATAAGTATCTAAATCAGGCTCAAGTGGCCATTCTGATTAAATTATAAAATGCATTTTCCGTATTTATGTATGTAATTAATGTTTTGAGCTGGCAGAAGATCTCATGGTTTTAACATTTGAACACGGCAACAAATAAGTTTACATACCATTTATGTCATTTTTAAATTTAGTTATGAAATAGGTTTAGGGTTTTGATGGGAAATGATAAAATGAGGGTTATATTTATATAATATATTTATTTGCAATAAAGCAGGCTCAAGTGGCCATACTGATTAAATTATAAAATACATTTTCCCTATTTATGTATGTAATTAATGTTTGGAGCTGGCTGATTTCCATGTAGATCTCATGGTTTTAATATTTAAATATTGCCATGCACAAACAAGTTAACATTCCATTTATTTTATTTTCAAATTTATTTCTCAAATTGGTTTAGGGTTGTGTTTGTAATATTAATTACAGGGTTTGCCCAAATAAGGTCAGTTACCATCTTATATATTTATATATTTGCAAAAAGGTTACCTTACCATGAATTTTATTACCATGAGAATTTTGTACTTGTTTTATTGTTCACCTTTGTTTATTTTATTTTATTTTTTGGCACATCACTTTTAAATTTAAAGTGCCCTTGGAGTTTTGAAAATTTTCTCTTGTTTGCATATTTACACACAGAGAGCAATAGAAAAAGGAAAACTGTTTTCCACATCATGCATATATAATTGAATAAAATCAGAATAATTATTATGTTTAAATTTTGTTTTAATCAAAATTACATTTCTCTTTGACATGAGCAAAGGTAGTGATATTGCTAGTTGACTGTTGAGATGTTTATGTTTGTTTAAACATTGTTACACTATTTCTATTGACCTGGTTAATAATTTAAACTATAATAATATATATACATGATATTTTTCATAGCAATTTTTAAATTTTATGTTTGTCTTTTTTTCGTTTAAGACATTTTTTTATAGATATCTTTACTGGTCAGAACAATGGTCTGTACTCTTTTTAAACGATCTTCTTATTTTTTAAACTACTTGCTATTAATTGACAAAAAATTTATTAATTCTTTGTATTTTATTATTACTTTTTTATAAATTTGAAATATTATTTACAAATTTGTAATTTGATAATTTTTTATGTCTTGTTTTTAAAGCAATGTTTCAATTGAAATGTAATTTGTGATAACCACTCTAGTTTCTTCAGTATGTATTTTGTATGCTTAAGGTATATTTTAAACAGCATTAAATATTTTTTTAAAATATTGTACATATTTTATAATGAATGTATGTTGAGAACATAAAAATAAATGTACACAATAAATGCATTTTGAGATTGATTGATGGTTTTGTTTATTCACGTAAAGAATCCTAATCCATCAAGCAATTTGATTAGCAGGCCTGGTTTCAGTGATTGAATTTCTTCCGAATTTCATGGGTTCTGAGTATTTGGTTCTGGGTCCGAACACTCCTGCCCCTGTACCTTCCTGCGTTCTAGATCCATCTGTGTACCAAAGGATGGTGCCATTTTTGAGGAAGTTATTTCCCTTTCTTTCCCATTTCTTCTTGGTGCCCAGATGTATTCGGAATTTTTGGTTAAATTCAAACCTCCTGTTTGAATAATGTTTTAATAATATTGGTTTATTTTCCTTCCAACCTACTAAAACTAATTTGCAATGAATGGTGCGTCGCAAAATGACTCGCCTATTTTTTGGTACGAGACTAACAAAATATAATGTGCCGAGTCATAAAATTAGACGCCAACGTTGATTTTCCTATGGTGCGCCGAAAATTGACTCACTTTCTTTTATTAACGTATTAATCAAAGGAAATAAGCCTCGAGTCAGATTTAAACGCACCCACGTTGATTTTCCTATGGTGTGTCAAAAAATGACTCACCCTGTATATAGTACAGTATAGTATATACAGTACAGGATAGTAACAGTGCAGTACAGTATAATAACAGTACAGTTTAGAAACCGTACAGTATAATCACAGTATAGTAACGGTATATATAATATATATTCAGTATACATATACAGTATAGTAACAGTGCAGCACAGTATAGTTACAGTACAGCTTCCTGATTATTTCTGACGTTAAAATTCGGCTCCGAACATGATATTCACAAAGATTTTGGCATTCCAATAATTAAAAATAAAACAAAAGGTTTAAGTAAAAAAATGAAGAACGTGTCAGACGGGCGAAACCAGCGAAGATTGCCAGACAAGGGTGTCCGGGACGACCAATCTACCAGGTCCTCAAATCAGACTTAGTGCTCAAAAAGAAAAAGAAAAAACTTTCAAATTAACAGTGGGATTCATTCCTTCAGCTTTAAACCAGCATTTTAACATTATCGTTGTTTAATTTGTTTCCAGGTGATTCGTTCTTAAACCTCGACCGTTTTGTTTCCCCCAAAGAAGCCTCTACGGAATCATCGAGATAAATACGAGATTTAAAATGTCACGGTCCGTGGGAGGCGCAGGGGGATCAAGAGAAAATGGCAATAAAACAAGTGTAAATCGCTGGTGTTATTTAGGGTTCAGTTGGCGTGTAGTGATAAATCGGCGGCCCTTTTCCTCCTCTTCCCTATGTCAACATCGCCCAAAACGTTTGATTTACCCCACTTAATTAAAAGGGTGTATTAAATTGCCTTGTCCATTACATCAGGCCGGCAGAAATTTAAATTTAAAGCTTATACGTACTAATGTATTAACCCGCATGGACCCATTTAATCGCGCTGACACACCCGCTTACAATAATCTTAGTTAAGAATAGTCAACATTGACACGAGCCTGACAGGAAAAAAAAACTATTTTATTATTCAATTAAGTTTATGTGACATTTACGAAATTAAAATAATTATTATTATCTAATCTAATATACATTATGTTTGTCTAGGTCGTTAAAGAATCTTTTGCATCCATCATCATATCATTTTTATAAGAAAACTTTTTTCTTTTCTAGGTGGCACACAAAATTACCTGGTCCATTTAGAAACGCCCACCTATCTTGTTTGTGTTCACTCTCAAGCTGCACTTTTCCTTTATCCTGTAGACTCTAGGTTCTCCAGACACGAGACTCTCAAAAATTACCTTACTTGAAATAGTTCGATGAGAGGCTTTCTGCCTGGAAATCACTGTTTGGAAAATATATTGGCTTCTGTCATTGGAAAATATCACTAACTGGAGCACCCATTTTAAGGCTCTCTTGGCTCGGATTAATTCCTAATACCACAGAGAATGTGCTTATCGTGTCATGAGCTCTGCGCACTTTTCATTATATAAAGAGTAAAGGGGTCCTCGAGAGTTGATCGGTTTGAAGAAGCCCAATTTTAAAGGTTTCTTTTTGGTTGAGCTGAGCTGTCTTTTTAAAATGCGCTGCGAGGTTTTTCAGCCGAACTCGGACGTGTGGAATCGGGGTGAGCAGGGCTTCTGCTCGCTTTGCAATTCGCATGCCCTCGAATCTGTTTTTCATTTGGGCAGAGTGTTCAAGATCCGCTTGCTTCACCTAAGTTGCTTCATTCTGTCAAGGGTGAAAACTGCTGGGTTTTTTTCGCGGGGTCAAGATCTAGGCTTTGATCGGGTTCGTGAGCTAGACTTGGAGCTACAGATACGAGCTGACAGAATAATTTAATTTTTGATTTTATTACTGAAGTAACACAGGGTGTTCGGCTATTCGTGTTACGAACTTTGCCAGTAAATAATGCCTGAATACAAAATGGAACCAAAAAGTCCTAATTAACAAATGGTCCGAATTTCAACAGTTTCGCAGTTATTCCCCTTTTTCTGATTTTTTTAAGATTTCTCGACCTTTCTTCAAATAAAAACTGATAACTCCAAATTTAAAAGGTTTTGGGCAAATGCGTTGATACAATTGAAAACTACGTTAAATTTTCAATAAGATATGATCAATATTAAACTTGTAAACGTTGATGAAATAAGCGTTTTAGTAGCCAGAACTTTGAAAATAAAACTTAAAGAAATTTTGAATGAATTTATTAAACGTTTTTTAAATTTTGATTCGAAATGCTCTCCACCCTCGTTGGTGCTCTGCGAAATGCTCTGCACAAACGAGCCCGTTTTCTCACTTAGCCATTGTAACTGGACAGTTTAATTTAAGTTTTTCAGAGCAAACAGGATCCGTTGTAATATTACAATATAGTGTTAACTCGATTTGACAGCAAAAAACGTTTTGAATCTTAAAAAACGTTTATTCCGGAGAATAATAATACAATATTCCTTTAATCAAAGTTGCAGTCGTGTTGGTTAATAAGTAAACACTTGCACTATTTCGGTTTCGAACCCAAATTAAAAAAGTTTTTAAGGGCAGTTTTTAATAAAATATTTAAGTTTAGGTTATGGTCGAGTAGAACAATTGTCAACGTGAAAATATGTAACTTTTATAATAGCATTTATGCTTTTAGCAGGAACAAGATTTATGTTGAACTGGTATGATCGTCATAGTGTGTTGTGAAAGAGCACTCGTATTTACCTTGATTGAATGCTTCATTCAATTTTTTAAACTATTAAGTTTAATTAAAGTTAACTAGATTTTAACTTTAACTCTCTTTATCTCCTAACTTCCTTACACGTTTTACTAAGAATACCAAACATTTTAACTATAAATACCAAAATTTGTAACAATCATAAAAAAAATTTATTTCTCACTTTAATTATTTTCTTTAATGATAAGTAAATCTAAGGTCAACTTCTAATGGTTTTCACCATATATCGTACAACAAGAAATTGAATACTGGCTTTTCTTTTGTATAAATTTGAATTTACTACAATTAATTAAGGTTTTTTGAGTTGAGATAA